AAGATGCATCATGTGAAGGTACAATTCCCAATGAGAAATGTAATTGTGTTGTATACCTACAATGTACCAATAAAAGAATTTAATAAAAAAAAATCCCTGATGCTGGATACAGAAAGAAAAGTTTGCTTTGGTTCGTAGTTTTGGTCCAATACCTAGAATTTGCATTTAATGATGGCCTTTTTGCTGGCAGTCTAAGTGCAGGACATGAGAGAGAGAGAGAGAGAGAGAGAGAGAGAGAGAGAGAGAATCTGGTCTTTCTTCCTATAAACTCACCAAGATCAACTCATGGAGACGCCATCCTTACAACTTTAGAACTATATGACCTATGACCTCCCAAAGGCCCCACCTCTAAACACTATAGTCAAATTAAGTTTCTTCCTTATTGTGACCTCATAGTGGAGATTAAATTTGCTGGGGTATGGGGAGGAAGCCATACCCATACCTTGCCCCTTGAACTCATTACCATCCTACTGACTACTGAATTCTCCCTCAATAATTTCTGACAGACTCAATGTCTCTCTGTAATTATCCCAAGATTGAAAAGTTGGCAGCAACATTCAGTTGGCTGGGTCAAGTCAGACATCTAAATTTGTTGTCCAGGAGTTAAGAAAAGATCTATCTCCTTTATGCCATAATGATGAGGATTGTAACACTAACCCCTTCATTATAAAAGAACTCTATAGTCTGAGCAGCCTCAAGCAACCATCATTCTTAATATTCCTTTAGATTTTTATCTAATTTATACTGTTACACAGTACAGTACTCTCACATACCATAATGCTGGTAGATCACTCATGTTTTAAATGCATAAATAAGTGTGTACTTATTCTTTCCTCAAAATGAAGTTTGAAAAATCTCAGCAATTATTGCTTTTAACTTTTGGTGTCATTTTTCCTAATGGTATCATAATCCTGTGTCGATACTGTTGAAACTATAGTTAAAATTGTAACATTAACTCTACCAACACAATGCCCATAAAATATCTGAAGATAGAAGAAATAAAAAGAAAATTATTTCAAAGGTGCAAATATATGCATAATCCCGATAGTCTCTCAAAACTTGTTTGTGTTATGTCACCTCCTTTCAGTAAAGACACAAATTCAAAGCATGATGCTATTGATACATGTTAAATAAAAAATTATAATCCAGGCTGGGCATTTAGCTCAGGGGTTTGGCCTCCTGCTGTGCAACTGTGCAAGCGCAAGGACCCGAGTTCAATCCCCGGTACCAAAAAAATATATATAATCCATAATATCGTGAAGCATCTTGGCAGTCTTTATGATACAGATTGAGCATCCCTTATCCAAAATGCTTTGCCCTAGAGGTGTCTTGCATTTTGATTGTTTTCAAATTCTGGAATATTTGCATATACATAATGAAATATTTTGGGGATGGGACCCAAGTCTAAACATAAAATTCATTTATATTTCAGATGTATTTTATACACAGAGCATGAAGTTTATTTTACACAGTAATTTTAGTTTATTGCATTTTGACTCTGACAGATTGTTATTAGGTCAAATATGGAATTTTTCACTTGCAATATCAGGTCAAAACTAAAACATTTTCTGGGGTTTTTTTGTTGTTGTTGTTGGTACCAGGGATCGAACTCTGGACCTTGTGCTTGTGAGGCAGGTGGTGGAACTACTGAGCTAGACTCCCGGCCCCATTTTCTGGTTTTGGAAGCATTCAAATTTTGGTTTATTGGATGAAGGATATAAATGTACAGTGAATTAATAAAAATAATGCAAATTTAGCCACTATGTTAACTAGTATGAACAAGATAGTTTTTATAAGAGAAACTTTTAAATATTCCTATAAAACATCATGTAAATGGTAAACTCTGCATAAGACAGTTCTTAAAGAGTTAAGTGTTGGAGTTAGGCAGTTTACATCAATCAAAAGAAAAGAAATCAGTTTGCTCACCTCATTTTAACTCTGCACCCATGTGCACCTGTATCCTCAGGTACCCCATCTCCATCTAGTGTTAACCTGGAATAAAACTTTTTGTCGTTTTATTGTAAGTTGATGTAGATAGTTTAATATGGTCAGTACCAAAAAGAAAAGAAAAAAAAAGGAGATGAAATATCTCTGTTATGCACATTGCATGACACATTTAAGAGGCACTGTACAGAAATTGAAAGCAATATCCTTCTCATGTTTGTTTTCTATTATTAATGTGTGAAGTCATCTATACATTACATTTTATCCCTCTGTCACTCCACCTATCTATCAATATCTGAGTATTTTTGCTCTCATTTTGTTCATATATTTGTCCTATCTAAATATGTCAAAGAGGATGTTTAGTAAAGTAATGATTTATAAAACTACAACCAAACCACTCAAATAGTGAGGATGGCCAGCATATGCAACTAATTCTTGCCGAGGCATTCTGGAAAACCAGTGACAAGATTGGGACTCTGGGCTAGCCCCAGGGCAGTCATCAGTGGTAGACTGCTACACACAGCCCCATGTGTAAAGTTTCTGAACTGACATAAAGCTTAATGGAAATAAACCTTGACGATGTGGCCAATCGAGTGTAGGTGACATCCTGCTTGGCATGCCATGATGACTTTTTTCCTTTCCTCTCTTGAAGACATAATGCTTCCTATGGGAAACCCTAACTTAAAATACCATTGTGTGGTTAGATATGAGATTTACCAACTGAATAGGATATAAGTGAAATAAGGACACTAGAAATAGGAACTTCTGTGTCCTCACACTTCACTGATCTCACCAACCCAATGAAATACAAGAGTAAATACACCAGTTTTATCTGCCACATTGTAGGATTAAAATGGCATATTTTATAAAATTTAAAATATAAGAAGTCTGTGAAAAGTGAAAATAGACACCAGTCATTTCATACTTATTAGTTATGTATAATAGTGAATCACCATTGTTTTAAGTCTGTAGGAAAATTTAAACAAAGACATTTTGTACTGAAATTTAGTGAGAAAGATAAAAGAAAATAATGACAACAGTCCTGATAGCCATTCAGGATTTGTACAGATAGACAATGTTTAAAAAGAAATAGTTTTCATGGTGAAGCAAAGAAGTATATAAATCAAATTTAAAATATTTTCACTCTCAATATAAATGACTTTCAAATGAAGACTAAGATTCATACATGATCAGGATTATTTGTACTACTTCTGTGTTATTTTTCTGAGAGTAGAAATGTGTTTACTAATTCCTGAGTTTGTGTTGCCTTCATTAGTGTTTGACTAATATTACTGCTTTGTTAGTATGAGTCCAGTTCTGGGTTAGCAAAATCCAATCTATGAAACAACTTTTTGGAGTAGGCAGTATTAGTATCTATAGTAATGAAGATATGAAAAAGGTGAAAATATGAAAGGTGAGGATGAAAATATAATTCCAGTGCTGTAGTTAGTGACTAACTGTTGTCAGTTCATTCTCACTCCAGAACCTACTATTACACTGCTTTCCCACACTGTATTAGGGCTAAGCTGGAAATGGGAGTGAGAACAAACAGAGGCTACAAAGAGTATCCTAGGTAGCATCAGTGATGGGATATACTATTACATAGCAAATAAATGACAACTGCCTCCATAATACAAAGCTTACTCAAACAGCTAACATTGAATTAGATTTAGTTAAATATATTCACCCATAATTACATTAATTTATCATATCAAAGTATTCCTAAAGTATTAAATTGATAAATTTAATTTGCATTTCTCAAAGTTATTTTTTTATGGTTATATTCCACTGTTTATACAAATTTAATTGACATATTTGTACAAATTTATGAGGTGTGGTGTGATAATTTGATCCACATATGCAACACATATATTACTTTTCTTTAATGATTATTATCATAAGAAGTTTATAACCACTTTTACATGTGTAATAATATAATAAGTAGTATAATAGAGTGATTTAAGTAATACTAGTGATTCTCAAAATTTAATTTACTGTTTAATTGTGGAATGGATTGGAAATTGTTTAGAGGTGTTTGTTTATTTTAATAATAGTGCTTATGTGTTTTATTTAATCCATGAGATTTGGATTGACAATGTTGTGATTCCGCAGATCCCTATATGACATTTTTGGAGTAGAGGAGATTAGATAAATGGTTTTATTTATTGCAAAACTGAAAGCATTTATCAGTTACATACACTTTGAATTTACAATTTTAGTATTTGACATGAGATATGATTATAATATGCCTCAGTGTTTGATATATAACATTATGTTTATAAATTTGAAAAAAATTCTAACACATAAAAATAATATAATATTTTAGGGGGTAAAAATAATTACAATATTTTAGGGGGTAATAATCTATGATTGACTTAATATCCTCAAATGTATAATAAACTGCTGATAGTAATGTACCATGTTGTTGTTTATAAAATACTTAGTTCTATATAAAAAGTTATCTCTAGTTGAAATTTGCTATCTTCAATGTATCTTTCATATTGATATGATGAGATAAATTATTAATAATGTTTCTATTTTTTTTTTTTTTTTTGGTATCGGGGGTCGAACTTGGGTCCTTGCGCTTACACAGCAGGCAGTGAAACCACTGAACTAAATCCCTGGCCCAATGTCTCTATTTTTAAAGCTGAGTTATGTGTGGTAATGTCCTGATGTTGACTATCTAGAAGGCCTGAATGGATTTGTTATTGTTTATTCATTACAAAGTATTTGAGATTTTCTAACTTAGTCTTCACAATTTTTAAAGTGTTATGAGTGGAAAGGAACGTTTGTAGCTATTATCTGTGTCTCTGATTAAGTATTAATATCTGTATTTTTTATTTTACCCTTGTATTTTGTGTGAGTATATTTATTGATGTACTAATTTGTTTTTTAATCTTTTTAAATATGTTTTTAATGTGTGTAATCCTGCTGTTATTTTTTGTGAGGGTTGATGCATTTTTTTATAATATTGATATGATCAGAGGTCTTTGTTATGTGTTTAATAATTATTTTGTATCCAGTTGCATAAGCATAGGACTATATTGTTTGTGACTGTTCATGAGTTTGTAAATTTATAATTTTTTCTTGTTTTTTAAGTTACAGATTCATGTGTTCCACTGTGAGTTTTGTGCATTGTATACAAAGAGAAGTACTTTGTTTTATGGAGACCATATGGTGTTTGAGGTTTCAGGAGTTTTGTTTTGTTTTGTGTTTTGTGTCCAAGAGATTGATGCACTTGTAAATCAGGAATTGTGAAACTTATTTAACCAGGTAAGATCCTGTTTTTCTATGGTTAGGATTTATATACCTCCTTTGTGAGGCACCCTGGTTAGTTCTTAAAGCCAGATTTTCTGTTTCATAAGTACCATTTTTAGGT